ACCGCGAGTCTAGCCGTCATTAAGTACGGCTAGCCTCTTCCAAACTAAAAAGGTTTAAAACGCTAGATTAAATAAAAATACACCAACTCCACACCAGTAGAATCTAGATTTAGATCTAGATCTAGATTCTAGATCTATCTGTTTTCTTTTTTCTTTTTTTCTTCTTTTTTTTTGGAGTCCCTAAACTAAAGTAAAGACAAAGTAGAAATCTTTAGGCCTATTAAATCACATTAAATAAATCAATTATCATTTAAAGAGTAAGAGCAAGCTAATAGCGTTGACGGCGTTGACCTCCATGCACCAGTTATTTTTATTAAATTTATGGGCCTATCTCTATTGACATTGAATTGCAGATTTAGTAGCCCGCCTTTGCCTCACAATCTACAAAGACTGTACAGCGCCAGCGTACCGGTAAGTACAGTAATGTAAATAAACCGATAGACTACCACGAACAATACAAGCACTGTTATAATGTTACCAGTTTCCAGATCCAATAACCGAAACACGCTTCAGAAGCCCCGCCATGGTGAAATATTAAAGAAGCAACTGTCTATTTAAATGCTTTCTCTTCTGAGATTTCCACACCGAGCCCGCTGTTGTTGTGGAGTATAGATTCTACACTAGGCTACACAACTTGCAGTGCAGAATAACTTCTTAAGTGTGCTGTGCTGAAAATATGACCTTGACCTTTGACTTTACTGTTTCACCCCGCCGCCCACTGCCTGGTTCCGGTTAGGAAGGTCAAAGCTCAAAGGGAGACAACTAGAATAATATCAACTGCAAAATAGCTCTTATACAGGGTGCCCACTACGGCTGGATCGGGCCGATCGCCCGACTCGATCGCCTGAAACTGAAAACAAACATGGTCGTGTGTTTTTGAGGCGATCGAGTCAGGCGATCGGCGCAGTCCTAGCCGTAGTGCGCACCCCGTACACGATTATGTGGGGAAAATAAAATAAGATTTAAAAACAAGTAGATCGAAGTACGGTAATGAAACTCTAGATCTAGACAACTAGTCATTGTTGAGGGAAAAAGCAGAATAAATAAGATAATTGTAGGATGGGTGCACCGACCCTTAACGATCAGTTCCCCTTTGTGAGCTCTTCGGATGACCTTGTCTGGCGCAATATAAGGATCAGTTTCTTCACGCAAGAACGGGTGCTGACACAAACTTTCCTTTAAAGAGACACCTGGCTCGGACCCAAAAGTTTTTAATTAGAACTGTCGTAAGCGGCAACTAGAGGCATTAAGGCAATGTTCGAAGACAGGCACGAAAAAAATGTTTGCAAAAATCGATTGAAATTTGACTTACAGACGTGAAAAGCCTTTGTATACTAGCCTACACTCAGAACTTCGGGGGGCCACATAACGTGCCTCGTTATATCGACTGGTGGGGGCTACATAATAATAATAATAATAATAATGTTATGTAGGCTATGCTTTGGTCATGCCCTCTGGTCATGCCTGCAACTTTTCTTTTAATATAAATATCTTAGTTTTAGCGACAGTTTTACGGCAAATGCAACACAACTAGCTCATGTAAGCTCCTGAGATATACAGTGTTACTAACCCACGCAATAATAAGCCCAGTCCCAGTAATAATATTATTATTATGTAGAAAAATGTTTAAAAAGCATCGCCAAAACAAATGTTTTAATAAGTGATTTACGGCACTTGCAACACAATAAGGTCATTATATTGTTATTAGAGATGTCACAAGAGATTCGAGCAGCAAACACAAAAAAGAAGGAGAAGAGATCAGAACGATAAAAGCCTATAATTTGATAGAAAAGGCGGAACAGACCACTACAATAGCACCAGTCAACCTGGCACCCACGACAAAAGAAACAACTGAAATAGCGTAAATAAAAATCGAATTGTTTTTTTATATCTTGTTTTGCTTTGTCTCGTTTTTTGTCTTTCCTCCAAATACTGTAAACTACATGTCGAGTCGCTCGTTCATGAAGACAGTAAACGAAGTACTAGCCGGTATGTAAGATATTATTATTATGATTATTATTATAGTCATTTAAAGAGAGCGGTGTATTTTGTATGCAAACAGTGACAGCAGAAAATTGTAGTATGCTACGAAGGGGTACATTTAAAGAACCCCCTGCCCTGCGTGCGCGCACATATTAACCCCCCTA